GAACATGAGGGACGCGACCGGCGCCACTGAGATCGAGGTCGGGCCACTGGTGCAACAGGCCTGCAGCCAGCTTCAAAGTGGCACGAGCACGGCGCACAGTCTGGTCAACGGCGTCGAGCTGCCGCTGATCGCACGGGTGGAGGGAAACAGCTGCCTTGGCTCCCACATCGGCGTGGTGATTGCCCTGCCTACACCACCGCTCTTCGGGGCGAATTCCCTCCTCATCAATGTCACGGTGCGCCGACACCTTGACACAAGGACAAATGCACGGGTGCTGCGCATAGCATTGAATGAACGCTCCCGAATACATACGCTTGGCCGAGAGCTGTTCAGCCTTGGACCTGTTGGCAGTCTTTACTACATTCGAACAGTCCGAATACACAGTGGACTCCAGGGGCTGCCTTGCAAGAACTGTGGCCCACGTAAACGCACTGAACTCTGCCCCCTGGGGCGTCTGGGGGAGGGGGCTCCAGACGGGGGCCCGGAATTCAGCTGAAAGTTGACCCTGGGGGCCTATCATACACACACTGCTGGCAGCACGTGAGAGCTCCCGCACAACATGTCGAGAACACGACCCGTCTACAAAGAGGGATCCCCACATGCTGGTGTCACGTTCGCCTCCATCTGGAGGCTGTATAACGTCATCGTGCCAGACAAGAAACGGACCATCATCTGCCTCCGTGAGAGCCCGGGGGTACTCATTGGCGGGATGCCGAAAGGCTCCAGAAGTGAAGACAAACAGGTCATCGTGCTCGTCCGAGGCCTTAGCAGAAATGGCGGCGTCAATCATATCCTGATCGACTAATGAGGCACGCGCCTCGGCGACAGGACCGTGTTGACACTCCCATAGCCGGTGGAAGACGGTATCCTCACGGCCGCAGAAGGGGCAGACCGAGGACACAAAATAGCCGAGGGCAACAGCACGATACCCTGTGAAAAAAGCTTCCGTGGCGAACGCTCGGATTCTCGCCTTGTCGAGGCTGGAGAATTTGGAACTGGCCAGGGCTTCTTTGACGACGTCGTAGCAGAGGCGAGGACGCATACCCCTCTTGTCCCCCGACTCCCGCTCGAGCATCCTAAGATAACCATCTTTAAGGAGGGACCTAACGAGGGCAGGGGACACAATGCCAAGGGGGATGAACATTCCCCTTTCGTCGCGAAGCGTCATGAAATTCTCCATCGTCCAGCCGAGGCGAACGAGGGACATCCTCAAGGCCGAAATGGGCCCGCTGACGGACCTCCAAGAACACGAGGCCCTGGAGAAAACAGACGACGAGGCTTCGCGGAGCTGGGGGAGCCCAATGGTCCAACGAAACGTGCTAGTCTGATTAAGCCATACCTCCTTGCTCCACCTGAGAATCGGCGCCGTGGCCGTCCGCCAAGTGGGGTCGCCATCCAAGATAGCGGCCGTCGTGAGAGACCTCAGCTGACTCACGGGACGGACTACGGAGAAAACAGTGCGGCGCAGCCGGTGAAGGTCCTGGTCGCTGATACCAGTGATCTCCGATCCGTAAGAGGCTCCCGCAATGGGCCCCGCTGAGAAAACCTTGAGCACCACCGAACGCTTCAGGACTTTGGTTTGCCGCTTGAGCCGCCGAGCTGCACGACTCGCCTTGGCAACCCTCTCCTTGATCTTGGCACATCGGCCAGACACACGGATTGAACGCCCTGCCGTATAATCTACGCCAAGATTCACGGCTGAATTGCAGAACGCCCCTCCGAGCTGGTGTAATTCATACGCCACTCGAATGCCGATCGTCTTCGAGCTGGCAACAACCGCCGTCTTATCTAGAGCAAAGGAGCAACCAAACTCATGTTCAACCACGCGCTGCAAGTCCCGAGCCCCCTGGACAATGGAATCGATAACATCATGAGCCCTCCCCGTGCACGATACCCCCTGATCGTCGATATACACGTCGAGGTCGAGACGAGGACGAATGGGTAAACTATCGTATCCATCTAAACAAAAAACTAGAATGAACGTCGTGGCCATCGAACATCCAGCAATGACACCGTTCAAAACAAAGTGGGGTCCCTCCAGCCAGCCTCCCAGACACAGGAACCTTCCGCATCGGTAGGCGAAGAGGCACAAACGAGCAATGACCAGTGGGAACTCGTGACGGCGACATCTCTCTTCGAGCTTGCTGAAGGAAATGTGCTCATAGAATTTCCGAAGATCAAAGAAGACGCTACAAGATGATTCCCCTTTGGCCAATCCGCTCTCGGCCTTTAACGACTGACGCCACACGACGTCCGCGGCTCCACGATGCTGGCCGGCTGCCCAGTACCGCCGGGGGTGTGCCAACTCCCAGTCCAAAGCCACCGGCCGCCGACAACGGCCCCAGACTCTGAACCAGGAGCAGAACACCCCAATCGGCCTGTAGCCTCCAACTGGCTTCGGAAGCAAAGCGAGAAGCACGACAGAGATCTGCGGCGGCATACATCCCGTCGCCTCCATGACCGCAGTGATGCTGCTGAAGCAAGTGAGAGCAGCATCAGACAGGTAGGAGAAATGCCTACAATGAAAGCCGTCAACAGACACAGCAGAGGACTCCCTGTAGCTGCGAGAGACTTCACGGATCTCATCCGCCGTTTATCTCGGTAACGGCTCCAAAATTTCTCCGGAAGGAAACGCACCCTCTCCCGACCCCCAGAGGTCAGCGAACCTGGAACCCTCGGCTTTGAGAAGCGAGAGAGGGTCAGCAACAACACAGCCTTCAGCTGAGAGCGTGCTGCTGGGGGCCCACGGAGAGGGATCCCGAAGAAGCTGGTGCACTCGTTTGGCTCCGAGGCCACCCCCACATGTAACCAGGAGGACCAATCACTCCGACTCTTCGCAGCATATTTGGCGTCGGCGGCCTGGACGGCCTCAAACATACGGGAATACACATCGCCGAGGTCCTGGCCGTCACTCGAATCTCCAACTGCAGTCGACACCTGCTCGAAAAGCGGAGCGTAGTCAGCACGAGCATCGAAATTAGCGACTGGAGGGCGCAACAAAACAGAGCGCAAGTGCACAGCAGAAGCGGACACGTGGGAATCCCTGCACGAGTGAATGAAGGCCCGAAGTTGCTGGCCTAACCACTTGATCGCACGGTGATCTGGGTAACGCACCTGGGTATCTTTGGCGAGGACCGAGCGCCAGACCAGCTGAGGTCCAAGCCCTCTCGTGCCGTACTTGAGGGGGGCCTGGCCGACCAAGGGCACAAGGTCACGCTCGGCGTGATCAGCCCAAGCCTTATATAGAGGGCCGAGCAGACGATACGCACCCCAGAAGTCTTCAACATCGAGCCTCTCAAGGGCCGAATCGGCCAGGGCTTGCTCCCCTGCCCAGGACGAGTCACGAGGAGCGGGACTCACGACCCTGGCACTCGGCAGAGGGGGGGGCTTGCGAAAGGTCAGGGCTTGAAGGACAGCCAAACGGGGCTGAAACGTGAGCTCCACAGGTCGATGGGGTGATAGCTCCGTGTCCAACAGCGTAACGACCTTCGCTATAGCTTTGCCTAAGCCACCCGAACACACGAAATAGTCGAAGGTGGTCGGCGGGCCCGCAGGGTAGTGAGTGCAGACACTCGGGAAAACAAGAGACCCCCTCAGCTCGCTGATGAACTGAGCGTCCTCGAGCTCCTTGGGCTCGAAATTGAAATCGGCACCCAGAAGCCACGGCAAATGCAGACAGTCAACTCTCTCCCCGATCTTGGCCAGAATCTTACGATTGTTGTCGGACAGGCCCTCCGAATGATGAAGGTAGGCCGACAGCATCACAAGAGGGGGGGTCCCTGGCAACTCAACGAAACACCCGACGGCCCGTCCAGGAGACAAGGGACCCCTGGGAAGGGGGCGGCACCCCATCCAGCTGCGCACGAAAATAGCGACCCCCGAGCTGGTATCACCCGACTCCGTCGCTAACGCAGGCGACCAGATCGACTTCCACCCGTGGCGAATGCACCAGGCGCTGGCCTGATCGATCTCTTTCTGAGCCAGCAACCTGTGTTCTTGACACAGCACCACATGCGTGTGTTAGCTCCTTCCAACATGGACTTCATCCTGCCCCAGGAATTGCAGTTGATGGTCTGAACCTTGAGGGACACGCGATCGATATTCTGGGGAGAATGCTCGCATTGAAACCCCTGGCCCGCACTCGCACTTCCAGGACTCTGGGCGGCGTGGCCGGAAGAAGAAAGCGGAGCCTCAGGTCCAGGGAAAACTGAAATGCTGGCGCAGTGCCCAGGAACGTCGGCTCCGCCGCTCTCAATAGAACAGGGCAGGAGAAACTTAAAGTTGTTTGCCCCTCGGTCGTCGCAGCCTCCGCCGCAGGAGGCGAAGAGGGAGGAGGAGGAGGAAGAGGAACGAAGGGGGAAGGAACGAGCGGGACTGCATCATCAAAAGGACGCTCATTAGACAAAACGGAGAGAGAAGCCTCGCGCTGAGGAGGAGGAGGAGGAGGAGGAGGAGGAGGAGGAGGGAGGAGGAGGAGGAGGAAAGAGGAGGAGGAGGAGGAGGAGGAGGAGGAGGAGGAGGAGGAGGAGGAGGAGGAGGAGGAGGAGGAGGAGAAGATGGGGTCGGAGGAACGCGCCGCATCGCCGATGCATCGGCGATGCGGCTCGATGCGGAGCCCGAGTTTCTCCACGTCGACGTCGCCGATGCGTCGCCGATGCATCGCCGACATCGGCGGTGCATTGCCGATGCATCGCCGATGCATCGGCGATGCATCGGCGATGCGGGGCGATCCTCGACCCCATCTAGGGACCTCGTTTTCTCCGTTTTGGGCCTCCTGGTCGGCCCTCGTCGCCACCGCTGGATTCGCCACGAAGTCCTAGTCAGAACGCACGCCAGGAGAGGTCTGGGGAGTAGCGGTACCCGTACCTTTTTGTCTTCCCACCTCCCATGTCATCTTGCGAGTCGACGCTGGCCGACGCTAATCGACGCAAATCGACGCTCATCGACGCTAAATCGACGCTCATCGACGCTGAATCGGCGCTTCCTCGTCGATAAACAGGCGCTGGCGCTCGCTAGTGCATTTTGAAGACGGAGTTGCGCGATCGCCCAGGTCGGCAGCAACTCATGGGAACTGGGAGATGAGCTCGGGCCAAACTCGGGCTAAGCTCGGGCAATCCCTGTGCTGGACTCGGGTTAACCCCCTCGAGCTAGACTCGGGCAAACCTCGGGCAATCCCTTGGCGACCACGCAACTCCGTCTGCAGAGTGCTTTAGCGAGCGCTAGCGTCTGGCATCCGATGAGGAAGCGCCGTTTCAGCATCGACTTGGCCGATTTCGCGTCGATGAGCGTCGATCAGTGTCGGCCAGCGTCGATTCGCAAGAGCCAGCAAGATGGCATGGGATCAGGAAGATAAAAAACAACATACACACAATCGTCGACTCCCAGGAAAATATGGAAACATCTGGGGCGTTGGGGGGTAGACGCAACTCCAGAACATGTGGAAAATGTGGGGAATCCTGGAATTTGGCCCCTTCATGGGAGGCTCCCATGGGTTGCCACCGAAGCATCGGGGGTGAGCCGCTGCGGTCCCGCCGGGACCAGGGCATCGTCGCCGCCTTCGACCCAGGGGCCGAGGTGGTCAGAGGTGGTCAGAAGGCACCGACTCCGCGAGCCTTCGCTCGTTTCCGGCTTTCTGGGCCTGCGGGGGGGCCCTCATCGCCACGCTCGGGTTCGCTTCGAAGTTGTGGGCAGAGCGCACCCAGGGAGGTCCGGAGAGCCCTGAGATCCGACGAGCGAACAACACATGGATACAGGCAAGATAGTGGAAGTCCACGACGGAAGCCCCAGACGCCATCCTTCTGCGCCGTTCTTGGAACCGGATCGATCTGTGAGGGCCCCGGGGCCCGAAACGAGGCGCATGCGGCGCGATCCTCCGACCCCATTTGCTCGGACCAACTCCAGGAGGCTTCTGTCGATGTTGGAGGAGGAGGAGGAGCAGGAGCAGGAGCAGGAGGAGGAGGAGGAGGAGGAGGAGGGAGGGGAGAGAGAGGAGGAGAGGGAGGAGAGAGGAGGAGGAGGAGGAGGAGGAGGAGGAGGAGGAGGAGGAGGAGCCCCTCCAGGAGGCCTCTGCCGAAGTTGCCCCCCAGAGGTGGAGGCCTACTGGCCGCGCCCCGCGGACTTCGCGCGCTCCAGCCGCCCCGCCAGCGCGGAGTGGGCGGCGGCTGCCTCTGGGCCGGTCGGCGCCGCGGCGCGCGCGCCGCGGACTTCCGAGCTGTAGTCGGGAGGGGAGAGAACACACAGGCACCCCTCCTTCTCCTCCTCCTCCTCTTCGTCGTCCTCCTCCTCCTCCTCCTCCTCCTCCTCGTCCTCTTCTTCCTCCTCCTCGTCTTTCTCCTCCTCTTCTTCTCTGCCTCCTCCTCCATCCCTTTCCCTTGGAAAGAAATCCTCCCTGCCGCACCCCCAGGCATGTCAGTCAGACGCAAGTAATCGTCGACTCCCAGGAAAATGTTGCAAAATCTGGGGGGTGTGGGGGGGAAGACGGAGCTCCAGAACATTGGACTATGTAGGGCATCCTGGGATTTGTGTCTATCTGTTTGTGTGTGAACAGTGGGAAACCGACTAGATGTCAGCGTTCTGCAATTCTGGCGACTGTGCGCCTGTGTAGGCGCCCTGTAAGCGAGACCATTGCCGTCGACTTGGTCTAAAGTTCCTCATGTGGGGGGCGGGGGTCGCTTTAAATCTGTTCAGTGTGTTCTTGGGCCCCTTCATGTAGGGGCCGCGGCGGCCGCCGCCGCCGCCCCGCCGCGGCCGCCGCGGCCGCCCCGTGAGATCCGGGCGCACCAAGCTGCGCCGCGGGCCTCCGAGCTGCAGGGGCCGCGGCCGTGCTGGCCTCGGGCGTCGCCGTCGGCGCTCGCCGTCGTCGGCGCTCGCCGTCGTCGGCGGCGTCCTCCTCCTGCTCCTCCTCCGCTTCCTCCTCCTCCTCCTCCTTCTCCTCTTCCTCCTCCTCCCCCTCCTCCTCCCCCCCCTCCTCCTCCTCCTCCTCCTCCTGCTCCTGCTCCTGCTCCTCCTCTTCCTCCTCCTCCTCGTCGGACAGATCCAGAGAACATCAAGACGGGAGCTTTTTTGCCATCGGAGAGGCCTTCTTGGCCTGTGCCTCAGACCCTGGAAGATGACCCTCAATGATGCAGGAGGTGTTCGGATGTGCTCGGGAAGGCTGTGAGGCTCCGAAGAGGCTTCCGAGCATGCTGCTAGAGGGCGCCGTGGTGCCAACAGCCTTCGAAGGGGAATCCAACGAGGAGGATGAGGGAAACGAGGAGGAGACCAAGGAGGAGGAGGAGGAGGAGGAGGAGGAGGAGGAGGACGAGGAGGAGGAGGAGGGTATTCTTGGGGGCCTTCGTGGTTTACGCATGCCTCCGAGGGCTCATGGCTGCGTCACGAGTCTGCGTCGGACCTTCTTGGAGCAATCGTGTGGCCGACGTCGGTGTTATCGGACCATTTTCGCCTGCTCTGAGGGCATCATGGACTTTCTCGGTTGCAAGGCAGCGCCATCCTGGCCTCTAGGAAGCAATGCCGACCGTCTCGGAGTGTATCCTTGGCCAGGAAAGTCGTCATGGAGGCCACTTTGAATCGTGGAAAGACCCCATGGTTTCCGTACACACGTAGCCACACCTGCCGCTCCGCACCAGGCTGCTCGCGCTCGAGGACGACTTCAAGCGCGACGTGGCGACCTTGACGGAGGACACCTTTCCGATATTCTTGAAGTCCTGGCGTCGCAATTTCTTCGACTCGCGCGTTTTCGCAGTTCCGGGCCCCGGGACCCTCACAGATCGACCCATGTAGAAAAATGCAGCAGAATGATGTGGTCCGGGGCTAGGATGTTTTTTACCGAGCAGCTCTTGCTGATAGGTTTCTTGTGGTCTCAAAAGAGAGCATCATGACTCCTCAGGGGGGTCTGGGCGGGACCCAGAAAGGCTGCCGCCGAGGCTGCCGCCGAAGCCGAAATCGCTTGGGACATCCTCGCAAAATCGCTCTTGGTGCTCCCAGAGCTCCATTCCCGGGCCACATTTTGGATGCCCGGAGCCAACTGTAGGCCACTTCGTGCTCTTCGAATTCCCAGAACTCAACTCCCGGGCCACATTTTGGATGCCCGGAGCCAACTGTAGGCCACTTCGTGCTCTTCGATTTCCCAGAACTCCATTCCCGGGACACATTTTGGATGCCCGGAGCCAACTGTAGGCCACTTCGTGCTCTTCAAGTTCCCAGAACTCCATTCCTGGGCATGATTTTGAATGCCCGGAGCCAACTGTAGGCCACTTCGTGTTCTTCTAGTTCCCAGAACTCCATTCCTGGGCCACATTTTGAATGCTGAGGCAGGCTGATGCTGCGGCCGAGGCAGGCTGAGGCTGAGGCAGGCTGAGGCTGAGGCCGAGGCTGAAGGCAGACTGAGGCTGAGGCTGAAGCAGACTGAGGCTGAGGCTGAGGCAGGCTGAGGCTGAGGCTGAGGCAGGCTGATGCTGAGGCAGGCTGAGGCTGAGGCTGAGGCTGAGGGCTGTGACTGCGACTGGCCGTTGCCGTGCGACTGTCATCGCGAATGCGACTACGACTGCGAGAACAGCAGAATTCGACAACTGGATTTTCATCTGAATCTTAAGGGGAATGCTTTCAGATATGCTTCTACACATCGCTGTTAGGTTGCTTTGCCGGGATAATTTTCCAGGTTGCTTCATTTTTTCCGCATCGTCGGATCTCAGGGGATGTGTCGGCCGCGAGCGCAGCGGCGACTGCTCTTTTGATTGCTCGCCTTGCTCTTCCTTCTGCTGCCTCGCCCTCTCCCAGCATGCTCCCCCTCTTCCTTCCTTCCAGCTCTGCCTCGAGGATTCCCGTGGCACTGCATAGCTTGAGGCATTTAGCTTCGGTTATACATCCCGTGCATCTCCAACCGTGTTTGTCAGTCCCTCTGTTTGTCTCCCTGCCTGCCTGCCTTTCTGTCTGTCTGTCTGTCTGTCAGTCTGTCTGCTTTTTTATATATATATTCTCTCTCTCTCTCTCTCCCTGTCTCTCTCTCTCTCTCTCTGTCTTTCTCTCTCTCTCTCTCTCTTCTCCTGTCAATATAACACACACACACACCTCTTTCTCTATGTATCTCCCTCTCTCGCTCTCTCTCTCTCTCTTTCTATGTTTTCTTTCCCTCTCTGTCTCTATTCCTATATCCAGCAACCTGCGGCAAGTCCTGCGACCGTGCCAGCCCGGCACCTTGCGTGGCGACTATGTTGGGGGGGTGCGCAGGAGGCCGTCGCATGTGACACCCCGTGTCCCGAGGCTTAGGAGAGCCGTGACATGTGGCATGCTTCTCCGTGCCGTGTCGGGGGTCCTCTTCTCCTCCTCCTCCTCCTCCTCCTCCTCCTCCTCCTCCTCCTCCTCCTCCTCCCCCTCCTCGCTCTCGAACCCTCGACCCAGGCCCTCCTCCTCCTCCTCCTCCCTCCTCCTCCTCTCCTCCTCCTCCTCTCCTATCCTCACACCTCCTCCTCCTTCTCCTCCTCCTCCTCCTCCTCCTCCTCCTTTCTTCCTCCTCCTCCTTTCTTGGGCTCCCGTGGGGCCGTTGTTGGGGGTCCCGTGGGCCACTTCGGGCCGTCTTGGGGCTCTCTTGGCCCCACGGAGCGCGTTCCACTATACTCGCAGTGTGCCTGCTCGCAAACGTCCGAAAAGCATTCGTTTGCCTCGATGCCATAGATCGTCAATCCCCCGCGGCGAATCCAGTTCATTTGCGAGTCGTTACTCTGCGAGTAGTGGAGCGCGCTTGTCTGTGGACGGTCTCGGGGCTCTCTTGGGCCGTCTTGGGGCTCCCTTGGCCGTCTGGGGGCCTCGGTGCGGCCGTCGTCCGGGCCGTGTCCTTCTTGGGGCAGCCTTGGGCCGTCGAGGCTCTCGACAGCCGTCTTGGGTCTCTCGGGAGGCCCTCTTGGGTCAGCTTGGGGGTCTCTTACTATGCGTGCGTCGCACCCCCCCCTCCCCCCCCCCAGAGGCGACGCGAGCACCGAGAAATCTTATAGCATGCGTCGTGGCGGGCGCTTTGGACGGGCACACTCGGGTATGCTATATGTTCGGGTCGGACTCGCACCTCCAAGGAAAGGGTATAGTACTAGCATGTCTCTGTGCGTCCCATGGACCGTCTAGGGGCCCTCTTGGACTGTCCTGAGGCCGTCTTGGAGGATTATTGAGCCATTTGGGAGCCCTCTTGGGCCGTCTTGTGCCATCTCGGAGGCCTTCAGGGCCATCTGGAGTGGCAGGAAGCCCGAAAGAGTGAAGACGCGCGATAATCCTTCACAGCATAACAGACAATCTGTAATTTTGGTTTCTTCGGGTCCTACTGGGGATCCTCCTGCGGAGTCCCCTGCCCATCAGTCGGGCAGCCGGCTTGGGGCAATGTTGAACCGTCATGGATGCATTTTAGGAAGTCTCAGTTGTCTTGGTTGCTTGCTTCAGCCGTCTTGGAATACAGGGAGCGCGGATCCATTTTCCTATTGCGAGGGATCACGGCCTTGGGAACGCGGATCCATTTTCTTGTTCGAGGGGTCGTGGCCTCGGGAGCGCGGACACATCTGCTTTGATAGGGCATCGTGGCCTCCAGAGTGTGTATTTTTCGGGGGGGGGGGGGGGCACGAGGGATCGTGGCCTCCGGAGCGTGAACCCACTGCTTTAAACAGAGGAAGGGGGGGCGGGGGCAATTCGCACGCCTCAACGTACCAGGCGGCACCGTGGTAGCCTCCCCTCCTCTGCCTCCCCTTCTCTGCCTCCCTTCCTTCCCCCCTCGTTCCATATCCCCCCTTCTCCTCCGCCTCTTCCTCCTCCTCCTCCGCCTCCTCCTCCTCCTCCTCCGCCTCTTCCTCCTCCTCCTCCGCCTCTTCCTCCTCCTCCGCCTCCTCCTCCTCCGCCTCATCCTTCTCCTCCTTCTCCTGCTCCTTCGCCCCCTCCTGCTCCTCCTCCTCCTCCTCCTCCTCCTCCTTCTCCTCCTCCTTCCCTTCTCTCCCTGCCCTCCCTCTGTGTGCTCCTCCCTCCCTCGCTCCCTCGCTCCCTCGCTGGAGGAGGAGGAGGAGGAGTAGCAGGAAGAGGAGAGGAGGGAGAAGGAAAAGGAGGATGAGGTCGGGAAGGGGAGGTGAAAAGGAAGGGGGGAGGAAGGGAGGGAGGGAGGGAGGGAGGGCGGGGAGGGAGGGAGGGAGTGGAGGGAGGGAGAGGAGGCGGAAAGAGGAGGAGAAAGGAGAGGAGAAGGAGGAGGAGGGGAGGAGGAGGAGGGCTAAAGAGTGAGAAGAAGGTAGACCAGGGAGGGAGAGAGGAAGCGAGGAGGACGTGGAGGATGATGATGATGAGGAGGAGGAGGAGGAGGAGCAGGAGGAGGAGGGGGAGGAGGAGGAGGAAGAGGTGGAGGAGGATGATGATGAGGAGGAGGAGCAGGAGGATGAGCCCGTCGTCTCGGCGGAGGAGTTTCGGCTGGAGCGCGTTCAGATCGAGGAGCGCCACACGCTGGAGAAGCGGGAGTTGCAGCTCCTCATCGACCAGGCCTCCCCCCGGCTCATTGTCGTCGTCGTCGTCGTCGTCGTCGTCGTCTTCGTCGTCGTCGTCGTCGTCGTCGTCGCCGTCGTCGTCGTCGTCGTCGTCGTCGTCAACGTCGTCTTCGTTGTGGAGATTGTTTTCTTCCCACATCCCCTTGCGTCGTCGACGTGAGGTTTTCGGCTAATATGAGGACCCTGGGGGCCCTCGCCAGAGCCCAGGGCCGATGAACACCGACCCAGGACGAAAAGCTGGTCCTCGGGACGGGGTCTCGACCTCTCGGGGCCCAGACCATGTCAAAATCATGACGGCGGGGGCCAGAGTGAAGTCGGGCATGTCCCTCTACAGGAGGAGTATTCTAGACGCTTCGCGTAACCCCATCAGCCCATCCAGAAACGATGCCAAGAGGAAGTGCCTCGATCAGGGAAGTGGGCAGCACACAGAGGAAGGGTCCCCCAGTGGAGGCCTCTTGGAGCGTCTTGGGGGCCTCTTGGTGGTCCCGGACGCCTCTTAGAGCGTCTTGGGTGCCTCGGAGAGCTTCTTGGGGCCTCTTGGGGGTCTCTTGGGGGCCTCGTGGAGGCCTGGCCGCCTGTTGGGGCCTCCCGGGCGCTTCTGGGGCCCTCTTGAAGCGCTCTTGGGAGCCTTGGGAGCGCTCTTGGAGCCCTCTTGAGCCATCTTGGAGTCATCTTGAAGCCTCGGATGGCCATCGGAAGCGAAAAGGCGAGAAAGCCCAACACACTGATTTTCCATAGGTTTTGGAAGGATTTTGGCCTCTTCGTGGCCTCCTGGGGAAGCTCTTTGGCCACTTGGAGCCGTGTTGAAGCGGTCTTGGGGCCTCTTGGAGCATCGTGGGAGCCATCTTGAGGCATTTTGGGATATCTTGAGCCATCTTGGAGGTCATCTTGGGCTCTCCCAGGCGCTCGTGGAGTCATCTGAAGCAGTGCCACGTGGCCAAAACCTTAGTAAAATCAATGATTTTGGCATTCTCGCCGAGGCCTCTTGGAGCGTCTTGGGTGCCTCTGGGGGGTCTCTTGGGGCCTCGTGGGGGTCTCTTGGAAGCCTCTTGGGGGCATCCTGAGGGCCTCCTGGGGTCTTCTTGGGGCCACATGGGGCCATCTTGGGGCCTCTTGGGGCCTCCTGGGCGCCTCTTGGGGCCATCTTGGAGGAGATCGATCACAGGAGGGGGGGGGCTCAATTAGCCCCCCCCTCTCAGGAGGCCAACATGGGGCCAAAACCTTAGTAACACCAGTGATGTTGGCATCCTCGCCGAGGCCGTTTTGGACGCTCCAACGCGTCGCGGAACCCCCCGTCCAGGTCCAGGGGAGGGGGTAGGGGGAGGGGTCAAGACGCCCTCCCCGCCCGCAAGCCGTCTCGCTCACTCCCAGCCGCCCTCCCAACACATCTGGCCGGAGCCTCAGCATATTCAGCAGTCGTCTTTGGATAGGCAGCTTCTGGGGGCGAATCCGCCGCCGCCGCCGCCGCCGCCGCCGCCGCCCCCGCCGCCCGCCGCCGCCGCCGCAGCCGCCCGCCCGCCGCTGCCCGCCGCCGCCGCCGCCGCCGCCGCCCGCCGCCCCCGCCGCCGCCCCCGCCGCCGCCGCCGCCGCCGCAGCCGCCGCAGCCGCCGCCACCGCCGCCGCAGCCGCCGCAGCCGCCGCCGCCGCCAAGTGTACTCTGTATTTTTTTTTGACAGGGATGGTGGGGGGGGCCGCATCGGGTTGGCTGCGCATGTTCCGAATTTGGAGGCAGAGTGTGTTTTGTATTGTTTTTTGCAAGGGATGGTGGGGGGGGTCGTCATGGACTCGGGTTGGCCCCCAGTCGCCTGGGGGAGGGGGTGTTATTAATAGGGAACAGTGATCAAGACTCCCTCCCCGCCCGCAAGCCGTCTCGCTCACCCCCAGCCGCCCTCCCAACACACACGTAGCACCCGAGCCTGGTCCGAGCCGCAGCATATTCATCAGTCGTCTTTGGAATGGGCCATCTTCCTGGGGGCGAGTCCTGCCGCCGCCGGCCCGCCGCCGCCTCCGCTCGCCGCTGCCGCCGCCGCCGCCGCCGCGCCGCCGCGCCGCCGACGCCGCCGCTGTCCGCCGCCGCGCCGCCGCGCCGCCCGCCCCCAGCCGCCGCCGCCGCGCCGCCGCCGCCGCCGCCTGCCCCCCCGCCCCCCCCCGCGGCCGCCGCCGCCGGCCGCCGCCGCCCCGCCGCTGTCGATCGCAGCCGAGCGCAGCCGCTGCCGCGCCATCCGCTCCTGCGGCAGCGCTGCGCCACCGCTTGCCGTTGCCGCCGCCGCCACCCGCCGCCGCTGCCGCCGCCGCCGCCCCCGCCGCCGCCGCCCCCGCCGCCACCACCCCGGCGGCCGCCGCAGCCGCTGCCCCCGCCGCCGCAGTCGCTGCCGCCACCGCCGCCAAGTGTACTCTGTATTGTTTTTGATGGGGATGGTGGCGGGAGGCCGCATCGGGTTCGCGGCAAAGTGTGTTCTGTATTGTTTTTACCAGGGATGGTGGGGGGTCCTTCATGGACCTGGGTTGGCTCCCAGTCGCCTGGGGGAGGGGGTGTCCATTAATGGGGAACAGTGATCAAGACGCCCTCCCCGCCCGCAAGACGTCTCGCGCACTCCCAGCCGCCCTCCCAACACGTACGTAGCACCCGCGCCTGGCCCGAGCCGCAGCATCTGCAGCAGTCGCTTTTGGATGGGCAGCTACTGGGGGCGAATCCTCCGCCGCCCCGCCGCCTCCGCCCGCCCCGCCGGGCCCTCCGCCGCTGCGGGCGCTGCGCCTCCGCCGCCCAGGCCGCCGCCGCCGTCCGCCGGCCGCCGCCGCCGCCGCCAAACCGCGGCCGCCCTCCGCCGCCTCCGCCGCCGCCGCCGCCGCCGCCGCCGCCGCCGCGCCGGGCCGCTCCCGCTGCCAATTCGCCGCTGCGCAAGCCGGTGCCGCCGCAGGTCGCTGCCCGCCATCCCGCTTGCCGCGGCCGCCGCCGCCACGCCGCCGCCGCCGCCGCCACCGCCGCCGCCGCCGCCGCCGCCCGCCTCCGCCGCCCCCCCGCAGCCGCCGCATCCGTTGCCCCGCCGCAGCGCCGCAGCCGCGCGCGCCCGCCAGTGTACAGTATTGTTTTTCACAGGGATGGTGGGGGAAGCCCTCCATCGGTTTGCTGCGCATGCTCCGAATTTGGAGACAAGTGTATGTATATGTTGTTTTTTTCAAAAGGATGTGGGGACAGTTTTTTTGTTTTTATATATTATCTATATATATATATAATATATATATTAGGGATTGTGGTGGGGTGCCCGCATGGACCTCGGTTGGCTCCCAGTTGCTTAGGGGAGGGGGTGTATATTAGTAGGGAACAGTGATCAACCCCTCCCCGCAGGGGAAGAGGAACCCCCTTAAACCACCTACGCCCAGAGGGCTGGTGTGATTAGAAAATAGTCAAAAATAGTTCGGGGACAATGTTCCGATTATTTTTCAGTAGTTTTGAGTTTCTGTTTTAATATTTGATTTATCTTCCAAAATCCGCCTGTAGGGGGACATGCCCGACCTAAGGTCAGAGTTCGTCGTCTCAGTGGGGCGCTCCAGGAAGGGCGGTGGGTCGACGTGGAGGGCCGTCGGCTTGGTGCCCCGCTCCGGAAGGGGCCTCGCCCTCGGTGGACGGCGGGGTTGTCGCTCTCCTCCTCGGCGAAGCGGGTGGGAGGCCGGCGGAAGTGCGACGTGGGCCCTTTCAGAGATGTAGCTCGTCTTGGATGCAGGTCGGAGGAGGAAAAGGTACTGTTACCGCTACCCGTCCCTCGTTTTCCCCCGTGTGGGCCTCCTCGGGGGCCCTCGTCGCCACCGCTGGATTCGCCTCGGAGTCCTGGTCAGAACGCACCCCGGGATGGGGTAGCGGTATCGGTACCTGTTGGGTTCCCCAGTGCCCGCCTCGTGGAGACCGTCGTTGCTATCGGAGGAGGCAAGGTGGGAGGGGAGGAGGGAGGGAGGGTGGGGGGAGGGAGATGGGGGGAGGAGGGAGGGAGGAGGAGGAGGACGGAACATTATTTTTCTCTCCTCCACAATTAGTCAATATGAAAATACTCTCCCTCTTCCCCTGATGGCGTCCGGGTGATGGCCGCGCATTCTCCGCGTACTGTTTTTTAACACACAGGATTCCCGGGAAATCCTGGGAAACGACTCTCGCTGAGGCGCCGGCGTCATTTTCTTGCCGAACGCCCCCCGCGTATTGTTTTTTTGCACAGGATTCCCGGGAAACGGGTTTTGGCCTGCGTTTTTCTTTAAAATGATGTTCTCGCTGAGGCGCCGGCTTCATTTCTGCTCCCGAATCGTTCCGACTCGTGCTCCCGCTGCAGCGTGGGCCTCATTTTCGGATCGGTGTTTGGCCTGCGTCGTTCAGGATGGCGTTCTCGCCCCAGCGCGGGCCTCTTTCTCGCGCGCCCATCCGCCCGCCACCACCGCGCCGCACCACCACCACCACCACCACCACCACCACCACCACCACCACCACCACCACCACCACCACCACCACCACCACCACCACCACCACCACCACCACCACCACCATCACAACCACCACCAGCACCAGCACCACCACCAGCACGAGCACCAGCACCAGCACCAGCACCAGCAGCACCACCACCACCACCACCACCACCACCACCACCACCACCACCACCACCACCACCACCACCACCACCACCACCACGACAACCACGCACACACGCACGCACGCACGCACGTGCACCACCACCCACTACGCACGCGCGCGCGGAGCCACGGGTCCGCTACGACACGCGTCCGCGGATAGAGAAAATCAGCGCCATGGTAAGGGATGGGAGGGAGGGGTAGGACGTCAGATATGACGCGAGCGCACCTAGTTTGTCCTTCCTCCCTCCCTCATTCTCCTCCTCCCTCACCCTCCTCCTCTCTTCTCCTTCTCTTCTTCGTCTTGGGGGGAACAGAAGTAGCTCTCTGGCGCGTCATTGTGCAGCGATCCGGGGGGATTCCTGTTTCTCCCAGGCCGCTGGACAGTCCGCTGGACAGTGCACCAGGCGTCCACTGGGCGGTTCACTGGACGGTCTGGGCGGCCCGCTGGACAGTCCGCTGGACAGTCTTCCGGGCAGTCCGGGCTGACAACCTGCCAGTCGAGCGGACAGTCCGACCGGACAGTCTGGCTTTGCCGCTGGACAGTGCATGTTGAGATCGTTTTGACTTCGGATGCAACTCCTGGGAGGTCAGATTCTGATGATCCAGCTTAATCCCGCTTGATCGGCTTAATCCTGCTTAATCTGGCTTGCTCCCGCTTAATCAGCGGCCTCATTTTGCGTAGTAGCCCCCGACTGGGGTTTAATTCTTTTGAGTCCTTCCGACGAAGGCCTCCCAGTAGTTGCTTCCTAACATCTGATAAACCAGCTGTTGGCTTCTAGGGAGTCAACACTCTTCCAGCATTTACCGCCCAGCGGCCTGGCCAGACTGTGAAATGGACTGTCCAGCGGACGCCCAGAGGACTGACCCCTGGACTGTCCAGCGGGCCAGGCCCGACTGTCCAGTTTACCACCTGGTGGACTGCTCGCTGACCTCTCGAGCGTCCTCCAGGCAGCTGCTTCAGCGCTCCCATGCCACCGCTTGTCCTCCCCATCCCGTTACCTCACTCCCCCCTCCTGCTCCTCCATCGTCGTCGTCGTCTTCCTCCTCGTGCTCCGTCCTCGGCGCCGAGGTGTAACCGAGTCGGGCTTGCTCCCAAGCCGCGTTCTCGTTTGGAACAGATAAGAGGTGGCACTTCTGACTGTCCAGCGGCCCTGTGACAGTCAGAGCGTGAATTACCTACCTCGCTTTCGCTTCCAGGCAAAACCAAATCATACCACGCGCCTCCTCGTCAAGCGGCCTGACCAGTACAGGCCGTAGTTTGGCATCGCTTGGTATCTCTTGGAAGCGAGGGTGGTCAAAAGCGAGGTAGGTTTGTTTGCCCCCTAGTCAGAGCGTGAATTACCTACCTCGCTTTCGCTTCCAGGCAAAACCAAATCATACCACGCGCCTCCTCGTCAAGCGGCCTGACCAGTACAGGCCGTAGTTTGGCATCGCTTGGTATCTCTTGGAAGCGAGGGTGGTCAAAAGCGAGGTAGGTTTGTTTGCCCCCTAGACAGACAAGGTCAGCCAGGCGAATTCGCGCACTGGCACTGGCAGGGACAATCAACGCGCCACGACCATGGCAAGCAGGAACAGGATTGGGTACAGATCGCACGGAGGCGACGCCAGTGGAGAGACAGCATGCAAGCTTTCACGAATGAACGCCTGGGCTTGCTGTGTCGCAGCGTCCGACACTCGTTTTAAACATATTCGCAGACGGGTGGAGTTCATCTCGTTTATATATTAGGTCACAACAAATCCTCGCTTCGTCCTCTGCGCTCTAAAGAACCCTCGTCGCACCAGGACTGTCTGGGCGTTTCGTGATTAGCTGGTAGGCCGCGACCCACTCAAAGCCCGCTCAACAATGCTCAACGTCGCCCCCCCAACACCGCCGAAACGACGCCGACGTCGTCGTCGTCGCCGTCGTCGTCGTTGTCGTCGTGGTCTTCTTCTTCTTCTTCTTCTTCTTCTTCTTGTTCTTGTTCCTTCTTTTTGTTCTCCTTTTCTTCTTCCTCTTCTTCTTAGTCGTTGCCCTGGAGCCCTAGACTCTCAGGGAGAACCTACGAAACGGCGACGTCGTCGCCCCGAAAACACATCCGAAGCGACGAAGTCGTTGTCGTCGTTGACGTCGTCGTCGTCGTCGTCGTTGTCGTTGACGTCGTCGTCGTCGTCGTCGTCGTCGTCGTGGTCGTCGTCGACGTCGTCGTCGTCGTCGTCGTCGTCGTGCGCGTGCGCGCGGCCGCGCGCCCGCCGCGCAGCCGCTCCCGCCGCGCCCGCCGCGCCCGCCGCGCCCGCCGCGCCCGCCGCGCAGGTCGAGCGCGAGGAGGTCAGCCGCGAGCAGGCGGCCGCCGAGGGGGTAGGGGGGGGGGGAGCGCCCTGCCGCCGTGGACGGGGGGGTGCTCGAGCAGGGGTGGACCTAAACGGCGTTTTGGCGATCTCGTGGGCCGTTTTCGTTTCGACTTCGTTTGGCGGTCGAGGTGGACTGAAGACAAAACACGAGGGGCAACGAAGACAAAGCGAAAACGAAGAACACCGTTTAGGTTCGGCCCTGTGCCTGAGGTCGGAGGAGGAGAAAAGGTACCTCCACAGCCACCCTTCGCGCCCGTTTTCTCTCCTTCCTAGGGCCTTTTTCTGGGGAGGCCCCGGTTTCTCCTTCTTGGGGCCTTTTTGGGGAGGCGTCCGCCGAGGGGTGGGGAGGGAGCGCCCTATCGCCGTGGACGGGGGGGTGCTCGAGGGCGGAGGCGGATAAAAGGTACCTCCACTCAGAGCGTGAGTTACCTACCCCGCTTTCGCTTCCGGGCAAAGCCAAGTCATACCACGCGCCTCCTCGTCAAGCGGCCTGACCAGTACAGGCCGTAGTTTGGCATCGCTTGGTATCTCTTGGAAGCGAGTGTGGTCAAAAGCGAGGTCGGTTTGTGTGCCCCCTATCTACAGCTACCCTTCGCGCCCGTTTTCTCCTTTTTGGGGCCTTTTGGGGGAGGCCCTCGTCGCCACCGCTGGATGCGCCTCGGAATCCTGGTCAGAACGCACCCTGGGAGAGGTCCGGGGATCATCGAGAGCAAAAAACAACCCGAGTCCTCATAACACGATGAAGACGTGGCCTCTCTGAGGTCTCTGTCTTCCCATCAGGGATGATAGTTGTGGGCGATGTTTGGTCCGACACATCTGCGGAAAGCGGGCCCCCTTTGCCTGTCCCTAATGTTTTTGGCCCTCCTAACTCAGGTCCCCTCCCACAGGGTCAGGGGTATGTATTGCTTCACACTTGAGGGCAGCGAAATCTGTACAGATCCACTGACCGAGGCCCGGCCCATGCTGGGCCCAGGAGGGCTGCTGGTGCATCCCTGGCCAAGCCAGGAGTCGAAGACGGAACACGCCACCCAGCGCGGATCCAAGAAATCTGCGTGGAGCGCCAAAAGCTTTTGTTTATGCATTTGTTGTTGTTGTTCTTCTTCTATGACCGAGGCCTGGCCCATGCTGGATCCGCGAGGGGTGCCGATGCATCCCTGGGGGGGGCGTATACGCCGCGGCTCGGCCCAGGATGGGCCAGGCTTAAGCAGTGGATCCCGTCGCCCTATGCCTGCTTCTGCGGCCGAGGGCTACTTGGATGAACACGGGGGTTGCCGAGTGGGTAAGGGGCTGTGTGTGGATGCTGCACGGTGGTGTTAGCCCCGGAAGCGTGAAGGGAGGAATCCCGCCGTCCTCTACCAGGAGGGGGGGAGCAGCGCTCCCGGCGGCGAAAGATTTGTTCTTCTCCCTCCCCCCCCGGGGTTCTGTGACCCCCAGCTGGCGTTTCAGTTCTTGCTGCCTGCCGGCGGCTCCGATGATCTTTGGCCGCTCGCGCACGTATTGTTCTTGCCTCCAAATGTGTTTTTCGCTCTCGTTCTTTTGTGTCTATATATATATCTGCATATGCATATACTTTTCACACTTGCATATACATACGTCGGCGTCAACCCACATACTTATGCTATATGTGCGTCGCCCCTCAGAGGCGACGCGCGCACCGGGAAATCTCATAGTATATGCGTCGTGGCGGGCGCTTTCTGGCTAGACCGCACGGGGAACGATATACTATAATCTGGGTATACTATATGTTCGTCCCTACGCGCGCCTCCAAGGAGGACATATAGTAGTAGTATTTCTCTGTGCGTACCGATATATAATTACATATCAATCAGCATACACATATACATTTGCATACATAAACATAGACAGTTACGTCTGCATACACGCACAACCACATATACACATACATGTGCTCATGCATATGCAGATCCACATACATGTATCTGCATCGATACATATTCATATACATATGCATACACATATACATATACATTTACACCAACATGCATATATGGACACACGCACATCTATATACATTTATATATATATACATATATATGCATACGTGTACACACATAGGCATGCACACACGTATACATATGCGCATGCACTTGCCTAAGCTTTATATATCCATATACACATACATATACACATTCACATACACATGCCCACACATACATACATACATATGCATACGCACTGACATGCTCATTTTCATATGCATATACATACACATGTTCACACACATGCATATGACTACGCATCTACATGAGTATATACATATCCATATACATACGAATTTGCATACGCACATACATTTACATCTACATACACATATACAGACACGCAGGCATCTATGTGTACGTACACGTATGCACACACATATACATACACATGCGCATATACATGTTCATATTGAGCTACATCTACATATCCATATGCATATACACAGCCATATACATATACACACATATGTACATAACAAGTAATGAACATATACATACACACATCCATATTCATGTACCTATGCGTATACATCTATTCATGTGCACAAGCGTGTACATATACAGATACGTCTACATACACTCACCAACATGTATACATTGCCACACACATATATACGATATCTAGGAACCATGTAGTTGTATCAGGCCTAACCTGGCCTGAGTCAGCCGCGAGCAGGCGCCCGCCCCAGGGAGAATGTCGGCGGCGCGCCCAGAGGCCAAGGTAGAGGGTGCGGACCTCCTCAGAAGGCTCGGCAGCTGCCGGGAGGGCTCCTCCTCCTCCTACTCCTCTTCCTCCTCCTCCTTCTTCTTCTCCTTCTCCTTCTCCTTCTCCTCCTCCTCCTACTCCTCTTCCTCCTCCTTCTCCTTCTCCTCCTTCTCCTTCTCCTCTTCCTCCCTCCCCTCCCCCTCCTCCTCCTCCTTCTCCTCCTCCTCCTGCTCTTCCTCCTCCTCCTCCTCCTCCTCCTCCTCCTCCTTCTCCTCCTCCTCCTTCTCTCCTCCTCCTCCTCCTCCTCCTCCTCCTCCTCCTCCTCCTCCTCCTCCTCCTCCTCCTCCTCCTCCTCCCTCCCCCTCCTCTCCTGCTCCTGCTCCTCCTCCTCCTCCTCCTCCTCCTCCTCCTCCTCCTCCTCCCCGTCCTCCTCCTCCTCGTCCTCCTCCTCCTTCCTCCTCCTCCTCCTCCTCCTCCTCCTCTCTGCTCCTGCTCCTCGCTCTCCTCCTCCTCCTCCTCCTCCTCCTCCTCCTCCTCCTCCCCTCCTCCTCCCCTCCTGCTCCTGCTCCTCCTCCTTCTCCTCCTTCTCCTCCTCCTCCTCCTCCTCCTCCTCCTCCTCCTCCTCCCCCTCCTGCTCCTGCTCCTCCTCCTTCTCCTCCTCCTCCTCCTCCTCCTCCTCCTCCTCCTCCTCCTCCTCCCCCTCCTCCTCCGGCTCCTCCTCCTCCTCCTCCTCCTCCTCCTCCTCCTCCTCCTCCTTCTCCCCCTACCCCCGTGGCTGAGCCAATAGCCTACTCCGATGCCGCAGTGGGCTTCTCAGATAAACCGGAGGGCGTTCGAGGAGGCCAGGGCGAGTGGGGAGTGTCTGTTGCCGAGGACTGCAAGCCAAGACGCTGACACAAGGAGCACCTCAGGAAGGGCCCTGGTTTTCGGGCCGTTAGTTCCAGGTCGGGGATCCTGTTTGTGGCCGAGGGCTAGGAAGGGGGGGGGAAGTTTTCGGTTCGGTCTCGGAGGTTTTCTCGCATCTAAGTGCTCTCCAGCAGCTGCGCCCCGTCGATTTTTTCAGGTTTTTGCCTGGGTCGTCCCGAACGGCCGCGGGAGGCCTGAGCTGCGACCTGGAAGCAAGTGGGCGTCGAAGAGTGCGTGAGGACTGTGTGTGTGTGTGTGTATGTGTGTGCGGTTTTAGTGGCCAGGGCCACGAGGTCTCCTAGGCTTTTCTTGGCCCCCTCTTTTCTTCTCATTCCTCTTCTTCGTCTCCTCCCTCTCCTCATTTTTTTGTTACGTATTACTGTTTGTGCTGCTGGTCCTCTCTCTCTCTCTCTCTTGAAGTCTTATTCCAGAAGAACGATCGTGGTTGATCTCCCCTCCAGTGCCCACTGGGTTTTCAGTCGAAGTGCCCCTCCCTGGGTTTGTGCACCTCGTTTCTTAACAGTGGAATGTCTTGAGGTTCAGGTCGGGTTGCTGGCCCACTCTATTCCGAAATCGTGCTCTCGCGCGGGACACCCTCACACATTATTCAGGAATCGTGCTCTCTCGTGGCGCTTCCTTGCCATTTATTGGAACGCTGCGCCTCAGCAGTCAGGAATCACGCTATCGCTCTTGACTTCCTCACGACATACTTGGTAATCGCGCTATCGCTCGAAATTTCCTCGATCTTCATGTTGGATTGACGCTTCAGCGACCCGCCTGCTCGACCCAGCCGTTTGGGCCAGCCCGCACGACCCGCCCGTTAGGGTCCGCCAGCCCGACACACCCGTCTGGTTCTACCGCTTGTCCTCCTGCTCCTAACCCCCTCCTGCGAATCTCTCTCGTGCTCCATCCTTTTCCCTCCCCCTGGTCTCTTCCCTCCTTTCTCCCTTCTCCTGTTTCAGGGGCTGCGCCAAGTACGCGTGGCAGGTAAGGAAGATTACCCCCAAAGGGGGTACGATCGAAGACGAAGAGGGCGGGCATCGAGGTTTTGAGACATCCCCTTTAAATGACACGTGAGCAGATCACAGGGAAGAGTTTTAAGATGTAGGTTGTTCGTGTTGCCACATTTCTTATTCGTTTCCTACTCCACTTATTTCAAGGCGTGTCCTTGCCCCCATCGTCCGCGCACATGCCTCGGGCACTGATGCGTTGACCCTGTTTCTTCTGCTGCTGCTGCTGCTGACGCCGCCGCGCCTCGCCGCCGCCGCCGCCGTCGGAGCGCAGGCCGACCTGACGGACCACCAGTCACAGCTTGAGGTGATCCGCAACCGCAGCATCGAGGAGGACCACCAGATGAGGTCTCTCCCGCGCTCTCGT